ACCTGCTTCCTTGACAACGGTCTGGTAGAATGGGGCCGTAGCAACACCACAGGCCCTACATTTAGAACTAACCGACACCACAAGCTGTACTTTAGAATTAGGGTCTGCCGAGAAAATGTAATCCAACGGGATTGGTGCCAAGTTAGTAGACATTCTCAACCCTTCGTATATTGTTCGACTCGTCTCCTCGCCTACAACTTCTGTAACGATAATTTTAATCTCCGGACCTTGTTCTGTCTTGTGAGAATTGTTCATATGGTGATACTGGTAGAAATTTACATCAAGTGATTTACTCGGAAAAGGAAGGAGTTTGATTTGACACAACTTGACGGGAAACCTGGTTTTTAAGGATATTTTCTGCTTACAAACGAGACCTGCGGATCTTTGTCCCATTGTTCCATACAGATTTTGAACCTTTACTTCATTCGGTGCATTCTCAAACCTAGCACCTTTCTGAAATTTTTCGGCACCCCCTTCGAATTTATGCAACGTGAAATATTTGTATAAATCTAGCTGTTCCTTTTCATCTAAGACCTCTGTAGCAACAAGTAGACTAGAAAAAGTTTCTAATGAAAGTAAAGGTGCTCTGAGCAAGTAAAGACTGTCTCCGAGCGATTTTCTCATGTTTTCTCCGGTAGGATCCATTTCTCTTCGCTTACATTCTTCCTCTGCCCACCGAAGGGTGGCTTTGACAAGGTTTTCTTCTGAGGTACAGAATTTCCCATTCTTCAGGACTTCTCGCAAGTTATCCTTGCTGAGAGACAGAAAGCCATCTGATTGTAAGCATTCTGTAGTGTTGAACTCAATGAATCTGAGTACATTTGTTTCTAGTTCTTTCAGATCGAACAGCTTGGCTTGACTAAATATAACACAAGCATTGTCACTATCGACCGCCGCTTCCAGAAAAGACTGGCATTGATTTACCAAGGCAGGGATCTGATATTTTTGTGCGGCGTGTAAAGTTGGAATAACTGTGTCCCCTTCAAGTTTTATTTTATCTGTGTAGATGAATCTGAAAAAGAGATTATACATGTTTGTAAACATGCAGTGTATAGACTTTAAATAGTTGAACCTACTTTATCATAATTTTTAGTATAAGAAAATCAGCTCTATTTTTTGTTAATTTAAAAGCAGGTTCTTAATTCATGTTTTTATCTTTTATTTGCGTCTTTGTAAACTGCACATTATAGGAATATTGTCAATTTTAAATGTGCCAATAGAATAATGACAAGGAATACCTGAGCAGAGTTTTGAAGATGTCGTAGGAGATGTCCTCAATATTCACGTCCTGACCCACTTCCTGGAGTGTACCATAGAACATGGCTTTAAAAACCGGACTCCGGATAGCAAGGATCAGTTTGTGTGCCCTTAGGACGGATTTCTCCTCCTCCGACTCGTTAGGAAACTTGAAGGAGATGTCCGACATTTCGGCGTTGTTAAACATCGCTCTCAGGGATTCGTTCACTGTTCCGGGTTCTCCTCCAACCGACTGTTCCATACTGTCAGTGGTGGACGCAGTGCTTGTACTTTCACTCTCCATTTCCTTCTGTTCAAAGATAGTTCTTCTTTCTAAAATAACCTGATCAATATTTTCTGATTATCATTATGACGCATCCTCTCGCATGCATTTGTAACGACCGCAAATGGATCTCGAACTCGATTGATTTACGCACTGTCTAGGTGGCAGTTTACTTTTTAAAAGCTCCTGTCCCCTCCCAAAATTTAAATGAATTTCTGGTATGACATCAGGCAATATATATATATTTTTTAAATTTTCTCATATATAGGTCTGTTAGTATACATATAACGATTTTTTGATATATCATAGTGAGATAATAGTATTCGAATAATAATCTTGTGATATCACGGATTCTAAATTAAGCTAGATTTTTCAAGGCCTATATCCAAAAATCAGACAAGAAATTCAGCAGATACTAGTAATATGTATGCTTGTGTGTATAAAATATTTACTCCCCCTGATTGTTCTCCAAGAGGTACTGACCATCGTCTTCCCAAGGCTCTATACCCCCCCCTCCTTCCGCCTTGTAAATTTTAAATCAGATCTGAAATTCAAATACACCTGTACTATCTCGATTATAAAATTCATTTCTTTTATTTATACATTTAAAATAAAAAATATGTCTACATGTATATACAAAATACACAAAGTGTCACGGACGTACAGTAAGCACTTTTTTGCGGAATTATCGAGGTCGAAGATAAGTTTTTACAGCTTTTTATTTTCTTGCTCTTAAAAAAAGAAATTATTCGATATTTTTATGTTTTCGTCTTGTCACTGTGGCAATAACGCGCATGCGAGTGTGAGAGTGTGTGAGCAAGTGCACTGATGAGCAATATTTAAGAAGAGTGATTATACAATGCAATTTCTTGTTGAAAAAAAATAATCATGTGGTCTTTTTAGATTTACTGGTCGGAGACCAGTAGAGCTTATTCGATAGTAAAGCGTCCGTCGTCAGTCCGTCTGTCTGTCTGTCTCTAGACAATTTTTCAAAAAAATAATCCTCTTACAGTTTTGGTTAAGATACATAATTCTGTATATCGGTTTTTGATTTCCACGAACGATGTTGCTGTGGTTACTAAAAATAGAATTTTCTTCAAAATACTTTCAAAATGCTACGTACTCCTCTCACAGTTTTTGGTCTGATTTCAATATAACTGGCACACAAGTAGACAACACTACTGTGTATCGGTTTTTTAAATTTCGGTGATCGATATTGCCGTGGTTACTAAAAATAGAAATTTATGTGAAATACTCCTACAGTTTTGATCTGATTTCAATATAACTTGGCATACAAGTAGACTACACTATGATACAAAATTCTATGTATTGGTTTTTGATTTCGATGAACTGTGTTGTCATGGTCACTATAATAGAAATTTCTGTGAAATACTTTCAAGAGTTTTGATCTGATTTCAATTTAACTTGGCACATAAGTAGACTACAGTAAGATACATAATTCTTTTTTATCGGTAAATTTGATTTCGGTGTTGCCGTAGTTAATAAAAATAGAAATTTCTGTGAAATACTTTCAAAATAATATCCTCCTACAATTTTTGTCTTTATAAATATAACTTGGTACACAAGTAGACTACACTAAGATACATAATTCTGTATATCGGTTTTTGATTTCGATGAACGATGTTGCCATGGTAACTTAAAATAGAAATTTCTGTGAAATACTTTCAAAATGATACTCGTCCTACAGTTTGGCTTTGATTTCAATATAACTTGGCACAGAAGTAGACTAAACTAAAATAAGTAATTCTGTTTATCGGTTTTTGATTTCGATGAACGATGTTGCCATGGTAACTAAAAATAGAAATTTCTGTGAAATACTTTCAAAATGATACTCGTCCTAAAGTTTGGGTCTGATTTCAATATAACTTAGCACACAAGTAGACTACACTAAGGTAAGTATTTCTCTTTATCAGTTTTTGATTTCAATGAACAGTGATGCCATGGTTACTAAAAATAGAAATTTCTGTGAAATACTTTCAAAATGCTACTCCTCCTACAGTCTAGGTATGATTTCAATATAACTTAGCACACAAGTAGACTACACTAAGGTACATATTTCTGTATATCGGTTTTTGATTTCAATGAAGGGTGTGTCCGTGGTAACTTAAAATAGAAATTCCTTTGAAATACTATCAAAATGCTACTCCTCCTACGGTTTTAGTCTGATTAAAATATATAATGTGGCATGCAAGTAGACTACAGTGAGATACATAATTCTCATTTTTATTTAGTTTTTGAATTTGATGAATGATGTTGCCATGGTAACTAAATTAAAAATTCTGTATTTTTTAAGCTACTCCTACAGTTGTAGTCTTATTGCAATCTCGCCACAAAAAAAAGACTTAATCAAGGATCATTATTCTATTTATTACTGTTGTAAAGTCCAAACTGCTACTTTTCTCTTCCGATGTTATAAGTACCAACCAGTTGAGCTACAGTCTCGACAGAGACTACTGGTTTTTTTTTTTAATGAATGATGTTGCCATGGTTACTAAAATTGAAAATTCTGTAAAATTTTATAAAAAGCTACTCCTACACTTGTAGTCTTACATGTATTAAGTTACTTGCAGTCTTTTAATGAGTACAAACCAGGAAAGCTACAGTCTCGACAGAGTTATGAATGTGATACGTTTATTGATACCTAATCCGTAATATCTGACGTTTTCCAGGCTTTTTTAACGATATTTTTATTTATATTAAACGTTCCTCAATAGAATGTTAAAATCTCGTCTGATGGAGCGATGAAAATGATCCCCGATTCCTACCAAGTGAAGTTATGGATCTCTTACCAATCAAGCCTGTAAGAAGCAATCTCATTTTGAATTTAGGAGCAAATATTTTTTGTCAAGAAAAAAAAAAGCCTGTGTGTGTGTGGAAGGGGGGGGGGTAAAAATATATAAATTAGTCTATTTGTATGTTGTATAGTACACGTAAATACTGGTAAAATTATTATTGTGGTGGCACCAAATTTTATATATCTTTCATTTTCTATTGCAAAATAAATATTAACAAAATTATTGGAAAGAAATAAGCCTTAAAAAGTATTGGCAAACTTGGGGAAAAAGTGTCCTATTATTTTTAAATTCAATTTAGCAGATTTATATATATACAAACATTACTTTACTTCGTATTTATTAAAGAGAACAATAATAGCATGAAGGAGACACTCCCTATTTACGTGTATAACCCATACACAAAGTGGTATTAAAAGGTACATTTTGAACATCCATGACATTTTTTTGCTAGCATAATCAGGGTCTATGATAAACTCTGTTTTATAATGAAGGGGTATAATGCATCTGTTCCTAGTAATTGAACCCTAATCCCATGTATTACAGTTTATCTGAAAACATTTATAAACTTGAATTTTTTCACCATGTGTCTTCATCTTAGCTCTATCACAATTAAGGATATTTCTATAACTTTCATGGTATTGCCTACAACTGAAGAACAACCAACATTGTAAGGTTCTCTTTTATTATGCAGCTGATGACATCTGAAGCAGTATATTTATACATGCAGTGATAGCTACAAGCAGGAAAAAAAGGCAGTCATCACATCAATACTGGTGACAACTACATGCTGAAATAATGTAATGCTTTTTTGTTCATTGCAACATAAACATTTCTCAATTTTACGGTAAATGCATTGCACAGGTTATGTTTACAACAAGGACACCTTTGTGAAATTGAATAAATGTAAAAAGATCAAAGTTTGGCAAAAGAAATGATGTAAAACATAGCTTGGGAGAGATTCTTGGTTTTTTCAAAAGCTAAGACAGTTTGCTCTAAATATTTCTATCTGCAGCAACACAACTGCAATGGTAGAGTTAAAAACTTAACTACATGATGGACACAGAAAAGTAAGATGCCAAGTTCCGTTACTCAATATGGCATGATCAGATCTAAACAAAGGCTGCCTCCTAAGTTCCCTGTGACCTTTGACCTCACTGTTATTACACATCAATACACTGGTACTACACAGGAGTATACAGACAATTACCATAAACAGGACAAGAAAATTCTCCCTGTATCAAACGATTGTGAAAGGTATAGAAATTGATGTACACATAATAGTAGGAAAATTTCACTTTTTTATACATCCTCAATTTAAACAAGCTATTAATCATCTGCCTCCAACTGCATTCTACATTATAAAAGTCATTATGTATCCAGCAACAAAATATTACATCTTCATTCAAAAACCTTGCTCAATATAGTAAAATGCAAAAATAAAAAATACAACCTATATTTTTCATTTGACATTAACTTAGAATATATATATAAAAAAAGTTCATATAAATCAACAATAGTAAAAATTCTTATCATTTTCAACTCTTTATAACTGACATAAGCCTAATCTGGGATCCCTTCTGAAAAAGCAAATCAATTCATTGCAAGATATTTCCCAGAGAAAATCAATATAATGTGTTGTAGATTACTTATTATACACCAGAACACCAATATTTCATTTACATTGTTTGATCAAGTACACAGGGAACATTTTCAATTGCAAATTCTCGAAAACACAAAATTTGCAGATCCAAATATTTGAAATATTTATCACATGATCATAAATAATTGGAGAATTGGCATATAATAAGTAATCTACATTTCATGGGGGTACATTTGTAACAGAGAATATATATTTTGTGACCCAGAAAATAATAAACAATGAAGTAAAAATGTTTTATCACATCAGTTGCTCTTTCACTTTAAACAAGTATAAACTATAAAATTATAAATCCAGCACTTACTTCGGAAGCGTATACAATGAATCATAATTTTGTTCTGCAAACAATTAATATAAAAATGTTCCTATAAATTTCAGTTTTACCATTCATACACTGTACATACATGTAGTTTAGAATACAGTTTTTTGTTCATTGTTAATAGCATCAAACTTTTTTCCTACAACTTCAAATGTACAACGCAGTAGTTTAGAAACATACAACATATGGTTAAGTAGTCTGAAAATCATGAACTATTTATTTTGTGCAGGTGCACTAAAGAAGAAGGGAAAATATCCCATCTGAAATAAAAAAAAAAATACCATGTCTTGAAGAGAAGTAAATCTTTTTCAGCTTTATCAATATATGCCATTATTACAGTATGTACAAATCCAGCTGATTGACAATATCTCTAAAAGGTATTTATATTGTTCACAAAATCATGTCAATATGAAATTTAATGATAATTTTATGTTTCCAACATGCATCAATAGATATGGTATGTGAATGTCCATACTACATTGTATTTCTGATCAAGTTTGCTGAAGACTATAATCTTTTATCATGCAACATTCATCTTTTATCAAATGTAGCAACCCCAGAATGGTTTTATCTTATCATCAATAATGCCACACTGCATTTCTACTGGAGTGAGCAAAAAAAAAAGTTCCTGGTTAATTTACTACTCATAATTGCTAGTATCTAAGCTTAAGGCTTTTTTGTGTCAACAAATAGTGTTAGTAGATATGCAGTGTCTGTTAGAATAGCACAATATTTACATCACAGAACTAACAACAAGAATTAAGATGACATGCAGACATACTATTAAATATATATACATGTATATACCCTTTCATCTATCAAATAATTTATAATTCACCATCTTTCTACAAACATAAAATATAATGGTGCACTTTGAGTGTTAATATATCTCCTTCTCCACAAATTTTTGCCACTTTTAAAAAAGTTTACCACTTTCAGTAAGATTACCCTTGAAAACATTACAACCTCAAAACTGATGATATCTATAAACATGCTATAGCTGACAACTGTAGGCAACTCAGATATACAAAGCACTAACTCATTTGGAATGCACAGACAACTGCTTATTCATCATACAACTGCTGAGTAGTTTACATATATAAAAACACTCTGAGATATAACATAAATTTTGTAATTCTGGTTGGACATCTCCATTTTTAGCTTTGACAATTCGATGTACATGACAACACTGAGTGACCGGTGATATTTTTTTTGGCCTCGAGATCGATTGGTTTGAGAGACGGAGGGTTCTGACGATCAGGATACAGAAGAGATAGGGTTGTGAGGGGAACCCATCTGAGTCAGGACTTTGTCCAGCCACTGCAGGGGGCCATTTAAATGGATCTCAATCCAGCAAGGGGTGCTGGTCACGTCTTGGCGGTGGTACTCTGCCCCCCAGCCCTTGACAAAACTCATCCTAATGGTGCACATTTTGGTGAGTTCATAGACAGCCTCAAAGCCATGGTTGACAGACTGACTGAGTAGAGCTGCAAACTCTTGGTTGTTGAAGATCTTCAAACTGCAGCCCGGAGGAATCTTGCACACTGTGGTGGGATGAAATCCATGGTGGTAATTGCAGTTACGACTCTGAACAAATATACTAGAGTCACTCAGGCATTCTGCAAACACCTCTCCTCCCACATAATACAAATGCACACCTGTAAAATACAAATAAAGTGTCTGTGAAAAAAACATGATGATGTGCCTATTGAATCTAAAAGACTGAGCATAATATTTGCTTAAATAATTTTTTTAGTCTACATCCCTATTAAAGGAGATTTCATATTTTATCTTCTTCAGAGTGAATGAACAATAACTAAATGAATGTTGATTATTGCTTTATATTATCTCTGATAAAAAAAAAAAGAGACACATGAGTGAGAATGCAAATTTGACAAGCAAATGCTCTTGTACAATTATTTGAATGTAAAGTCCTCTCAAATAACTCTTAAAAATTAATTTAAAGTAAATCAAATCTTTATTCAAAGTTAATTAATCTAGCATACCTTTACTAATGTGTCTTCTGGTATTCTCTATGGTAGAGTTGCGGTTAACATTTGACAGTAATCCCAAGCAGAATCGATCTGCATTGTTAGAAGGATCGGTGAATCCGTCAACAACAATGCTTGTTTGTGATGCATGGAAGGCTTCCCCCACCCTGTTGTTCAGCTCATAGTAGACAATGGAGCACCAGAACTGGGGTTCCTGATAAGTCACTGGCTGCAGATCTGTCAGTTTTACAGACATACCTGAAAATAGTAAAGGGAAATTAGACCTAACTGCTAGCATCAACAGTAAATCATAATAAACACTGTCTGTTTACTACTATTGTTTGCTTCTTAAATGGGTCCAACGTAATGGGAGGTCAACATTACCACTACATCACCAAAAATTTCAACACATTTTTTCAAATTTTTTACCTATCATTACCGCTACATTTTTCGGCCGAAATCAATTCCTTACCGCTACATATTTAATCTGACAGTCAAAAACAACCCATTACCGATACATATTAAACTAGCCAGGTATGGTACGGAATACGAGTTCCAATCAACAGAGTTCACTCATTATGTAGTGAAGTACATTTTCAATTTAAATTCTAGACAGAAGAATGTGAAGTCTGTGGGTTTTATCTATGATCAGTGCTTGATTTTATTTTTATATTTTTTAAAGTGTTTTATAAAATAAAATAGAATTTAAATAAAAAATAAAATAAAGAAAATATCCTGCTCAAAGTCCTACTTTCACCTCCCCATGGACTTGTATATGTAGTACTTTGCAATGTAGTGGTAATGTACAATTTTATATGTAGCGGTAATGTTAACGTTTTTTCTAGCGGCAATGACTATGTAGCGGTAATGAAGATTTTGAAAATGTAGTGGTAATAATAAGCACCCTAACTAAACAAGAGTCTTTTAAAGTCACTAGCAGAAAACTTACTTCCTCTAGAATGTTTTTTGGTTGAAAGTTATATAGCAAATAAACAGGGTTTAAACTTAACTGAAATTTCCAAGAGCCATGTTGGCTCCTGACATTTCAAATTTACGAGCCCACTGCTAAATTAGTTAGCCCACAGTCTCTATGATTTTTTTTAAAAAGCATAGATACTGGGACAAAAAGTAGATACAAATGAAATACATATATTAATTCATCTGTTTAATATTGGAGTTCTTACTTTATAAAAATCAGATGTCATATAAATATTTAATCAAAGGAAATAAAATTGTATTCAATTAACATTTTTACTATTTTTTTCCTACTTGGTAATAAATGTATATAAATACGTAGCCCTGGTACATGTCTTCAACTGATAAATTGACAAATAAATAAGATTTTCTAGTTTTAATATTTTAACTACAACATATCTGAAATAGGTGAAAACACTTACTTTTCATATGACTGAGCAGTTGGGAGGTATTAAAATTGTATATCTCTCACGAATCAACCATTTACAGAGGGTTGGAGGAAATTCGGATTCGGAAAAAAGACGATCGTTTTAGGGAATTTCACAAATCGTGTAGTACTTTAAATGGAAAAGATGAAGGATATTTACGAACAATAGGACCAATAGGACCAAACTGATGTGATTTATTTCATTTTTCTGTAGTTTTAAATCAAAAACCTGCATAAAATGTCTGTTTTTCAGTAAGGGGACTGGGAATGAATTCGGCCCCTGCAGAATTTTTATTCGCCACATGGGCGAGCAACTTAAAAATTTTATGAGCCCACACCAATTTTTACTCGCAATTTGCGAGTGGGCGAGCGTTAAGTTTAAACCCTGATAAATAACCTGGTATTAAATCTGTATAGCTATAAAGGGTGTAATGAAAACGTCAAATAAATTTCTGAGTCTATGACAGAACTTTATCCATTTGTTCAGAACTGAAAAGCAAAAAAAAAAAAAAAAAAAAACTACCTATCCAGTGACCACCTCTAAAATGTGGGTTTGAGTACATCAAACATATATATTTTTAATGCTGGCCTTCGTGTTTGGCTAAAATTATTGTTTGTTTATATGTGTTACAGGCTAATTGTATTCATGCAATTTTGTGTTAGATCAGTGATAACATAATGAAAATTTACAATATATATATGTATATAATTATATCTTACTTCTATTTTTCTTTTAAAAAGTGTTAACAATTATTTCATAAAATGTTTCAAAGGGAAAATGCTTTTTGAAAGAAAATGAGGAATTTCCTCCAGGTGAACAATATTGGTACTTTGGTAGTAAATTTCTTTTCGATTAATCCATGGTCCGAGTCCTATTTTGGCTACAATGGAAACCCTAGTAATAAAGTAGATCCACTGTCTTACATCTTTAATGTCTTTTAAAACTAAATCTTATATTGGGAGCTTAGTTTTCTTACCTCCAGGTCCTACTCTGTTTCCATGGGAGGATGCAGGCATTGTGTCCATTGGCTGATGGTGGGGCCGTGGATGGTTGTTTCTGTTTTGGTTATTCACATTGGCATTATCATCGTGTGGCTGATATGCTGGTGGTGGTGTGCCCGCTTCGAACAAAAATGACAAATGTCAAACAAGCAACAAATAATACCAATATATATACCCTGTACAATGTGAAAATAAACTTAAGATTTTTTTCCCAATAACTTATCGAAAAAATCCACACATTATTGAAGAAATCCACACAATATCATTTTTCTTGCTCAGGAACAAAGAAAAATATGTTCTTTATCCATCATTATTGTCTGTCACCTTATTGAATTACACCTTATCACGGTGTTTATCACACTTAAATACCTGGCAAACCATATGGGCTGCCCGGTCCTGAGCTAGCAGGAGAGTTAGGTCCCTGGGATGGGTGAAAGCCATTAGGGTCAAAGCTTATGTTGTGTGGCATTGCTGGTTCTGGGGCTTGTTGGAATGGGGGCAATGAGGGCGGCGATCCATGACCTGCAGGAAACTCACTGTAGCGTGGAACAAGGACTGGTGGTAGCACTGAAATACAGAGACAGTATATTGATAATAAAGAAAAAATCAGATCCATGAGCAACATTTCTACATTTATTTTTAATTTTTTGCAATCAAAACAAATTGAACTTTTCACACATTTTTTAAAAATTACATAATGAATCTTCATTTCATCTAAAGTACTGATGAATGTTGTGGCCTTGTTAAATGTACTTTGAATTTAACAAATGTGAGAATCTGTGAAAAGCAAAGAATATTTTTAAACCAATGAGCTACAAAGCAAACTGTACCTGGACTTTCTACTCTTTTGTAGTGATAAGGATTAATGCATACTTCTTTCTGTTTAGCACTAAATGGGTATTCACATATATCTAAAGGTTTTAATTCATGATGACTCTGCAGATCTGGCCATCGCCACACCCTGCAATAAATGACATGTGGTAGTCCTTTCCTGTGGGACACTTGCAATCGACCATCCAGTGAGCGGGGGATTGTAACACATTTACTCGGTTGTCCTGGACAACTCAGGGCCTTCTCCAACTCTTCTAATGCACCTTTCTTCTTCTTCAGTTTCTTTACCAATGAGTCAACTGCCTTTTCAGCCCATTTTTCCTCTTCATCTCCTTGTTTCCAACCAAGAAGTCTCTTTACAGCAGGACTCGTGAATGAGAAAAGACTGTTTAGACTGGACATGGGGGAACTCATTCCAGTATCAACCTTCAAAAAAAGAACGATGAAATAAAATTATTTACATAAAATGTAAATGTGAATGGTAAACAACACAAGTCCTGGGGATGACTACATCCAAATAAGGAATTTTAAAGAATGCATGTTCAAATATCATTTAAGTTAATTATAATGCTTCCTCAAATGTACCAAGAAAATTTACAATGAGGACTGGGAGTGTTCAATTCAAATGTATTATGAACACCTAAGGTTATGAGTAACAGAGTAACCTAATAGTTGGCACTCCTAAACTATCATAACAATATGGCTTTTAATTAGGTCAAAACTTATACAAATGTTGCATTAACACTAAAGAAAACTGAAATTATAATGATATCAATTCTTGTAAATATGTTAACAGACCAAAATCTATTTATAAAAAATTAAAAAGTTAATTTGATTAATTAATTCATTTGCTTGACCAATGAAAATTGTGCATGGTCATGATACATGGGTGCATGTATAACAAAACAAAAACATGGACACAACTTGGATGCTCTGGGGCATTCTTCCCTAAAACAAAAACATCTTGACCTTTACCTCTTGGATCGATATCAAAATCTTCTCAAAGATCCTTGTAAATAATTAACGGATAATTGTTACTTTCCATCAATCTACTATCCGATTAGACGATGAAAATTAACGGTATTGTGATTAGGCGACAGAACGACGAGCGACCGAATTACCAACTTAGAATGTAGAATTACTACGCTTTCCGGAAGAAAGAACACTTCCTATTCAGTAAAATAGATTTGTAAATCTTGGGACAGTTATGAAATAAATGGTATTTTGAGGTATCAGTAAAATTTTTAAAGAAATTTATCCTGAGCAAGTATGCAGTTTTTCGGTAATGTTCTATAAATCTGGGTATCTTGGATGGATCTATTTTGTTGAATCGGTAGGTTATTTATGAATGAAAAGCGCCTGCGCTTTGATGCTGTGACGTCAGGGCACTGGCGACGGAGTGACGGCACACGCAACCTGACCTATTAACCGGGAAAATGTACTGAGAAACACATGGCATAATTATAAGAATCTTGGAAATATATGTAAGCGCTGATTTCTATTTGAAATGAATTCATCTAAATATCATTTATATCAAACATGGAAGAATACTACAAAATCCAAGTAGATTAAAGTAAGACAAAAGTATTTTATAAACATTAATTGGAGGAAATTCGAGACGATGGTAATGTTCCACTTATCTCTACTTTCGCTTTGTACTTTCGTAAATAAAATCCACAGAGACTTGGGTAAAGTCTGTTACAAACATTAGAATATTTGAAAAATGGAATTATGAAACAAAGCCCAGGGTAGTAAATAAAAAATACTAACTGTTAATTACTATGATCAACAGTATGCCATAGCCTAGCTAACATAGAAAATACACCTACTTCAGTGCTTGGTTACTAGCTAAAGAACTGTAGCTCACTGAAAAAATGTATAGTGACAGACTGGAGAGCTACAGTGCCACCCATTGAAAAAACTGTATATTTATGGTGCACTAAATGTTGTGCTCGGTTCTGGATTAATTCTTCCAAATTCTTACCTCAATATGCAAAGAAAGCTAGATTTCAAAAAAGTCCTTACTTCTCCATCAATTACTCTCGTAGTTTACATCTGTACAAATGGGAAGCGTGTTGGACAGAATCATCTTGCAAACCAAAATGGCAGTATAAATAAGCAAAATTTTTGATGCATGATCTCAATTTTAGAGTCAGGCCAGATAAAATTAATCTTTAGATTCTCATCCCCGCCCGCCCCTCTAAAAATGTCCCGCCCCAGTGTTTTTTATTTTGATTTTTGGGTGTTAATTAAAATATTTTCACGTGTTTTCATTCTGCAAGAATTTGGGTCAAAGTTTAAGAGTTATCTCCCGTCTGTATTAAAAGTCGCATGTCGCTATTTATAATAAAAGAACCATGTGAAGAATGGAGAAAAATCGCCAATAAAAGCAGTTTAAATATGGAAGGAAGAGATAATTTGTCAGTATAGAGAAGACAGAGAAAAAATAGCATAAACACATCTAGATAACTTCACTGGCATGAGCAATTTTTTTAGAGAGATGTTAACTAACTAAAATAGACAAGGAAAATGACACCAGGTCAAGTTTTAACGATCTCCAGCTGTGTGTGATTTTACTTTGGAAAAAAAAAAACATTGTTGGCAGACTTTAAAGAATGCTAAGAGCTAAAAAAAAATGTCAAATCTTAAAATTTTTCAGACCTAGGTTTTACAATAGAATATTTTATCAGAATATTTTATAGAATTTGCAAATATGACCTATATTAATGTCGAACATGTCAAGTCTCAAGAACGATCAAATTTTTGAGGAAGGTGGAAATTTATATTTTACCCAAAACAGAGGGATTTGTTGGTAAAACTAAAAGGTATCGGGGGAGAGGCCAATGAGAAGTCATGCAAATACAATATACTGGTATCCCCATCTCATTTTGTTTGGCATGTGCCGTATATGTGTACTTGATAATTTGTTAAGTAACGATAAATATTTAATTTTTTAAAAGCAAGAATCTTCTTTAGATATTTAAAAGAATATGAAAAGAGTAAAATTTATTCATATTGGCATTAACATTATGAAAAAAAAAATGTGTACGAAGAGTCAATCTTTTGTTGATACTTACAATTTAACAATTATAAAAAATAAAATCCGCCCACCCGCCCCGATTTTATAGTAAATTAGGATGAGAATCTAAAGATTAATTTTATCTGGCCTGACAGGAGGGCTCATGGAAACAATTATAAAGAATGTTTTGTTGAGGAAACAGTGAAAGAATGTGTTAGGAACACACAGTTAATAATATTTTGAGATGACAGTTTTAAAAACATGGAGAAATTAATCGAGAAACAGCACACTTTTTTCAATCGCAATAAATATACAGTTTTTAGGTCACCTGAGTAAACTCAGGTGACCTATTGCTATCCGTTTTCGTCCGTCGTCGTCCGTCGTGTGTCGTGTGTTAACATTTGAACATTTTCAGCTTCTTCTCTGCAACCACTGAACCAATTTCAACCAAATTTGGCACAAAGCATCTATGGGTGAAGGGGAACAAAAGTTGTGAATTTCATGATCCCTGCCCCCCCTGGGGCCTGAGGGGTGGGGCCAAAACCACTAAAAATAATGCAGTCTTTAAAAATCTTCTTCTTTACTCCTGGACATCAAGCAGTCAAACTATTTGCATGATTGTAATCAGCATTGAGTCCTCTACCAAAATTATGAAATTCATGGCCCTGGGGTCAGGGGTTCTAGTGCTAGGGCGGGGCTAAATAAGTATATAGTGAAAATGCATTATTTCTTTGAAAATCTTCTTCTCTGCTCCTGGGTATTAAATAAACCAACTAAGTACATAGTTATGATGAGCAAGAGTGCCTCTACCAAAATTGTGAATTTTATGGCCCCAGGGTCAGGGGTTCTGGTGTTAGGGTGGGGCTCTATTGATTATATAGTAAAAATACATGATTTCTTTGAAAATCTTCTTCTCTGCCCCATGGTATTAAATAAACCAAGTAAGTAAATAGTTATGATGAGCAAGAGTGCTTTTACCAAAATTGTGAATTTTATTGCCCCAGGGTCAAGGGTTCTGGTGTTGGGGGGGGGGGGGCTCTATTGATTATATAGTGAAATTACATGAATTCTTTGAAAATCTTCTTCTCTGCTCCTAGGTATTAAATAAACTAACTAAGTACATAGTTATGATGAGCAAGAGTGCCTCTACAAAAATTGTGAATTTTATGGCCCCAGCGTCAATGGTTCTGGTGGGGGGGGGGGGGCTGTATGGTTTATAGAGTGAAAATACATGAATTCTTTGAAAATCTTCTTCTCTGCTCCTGGGTATTAAATAAACTAACTAAGTACATAGTTATGATAAGCAAGTGTTCCTCAACCAAGATTGTGAATTTTATGGCCCCAGGGTCAAGGGTTCTGGTGTGTGTGTGTGGGGGGGGGGGGGGGGGGGGGGGGGCTCTATTGATTATATAGTGAAAATATGTGAATTCCTTGAAAATCTTCTTCTCTGCTCCTAGGTATTATATAAACAAACTAAGTGCATAGTTATGATGAGCAAGTGTGCCTCAACCAAAATTGTGAATTTAATGGCCCTATCATCAAGGGTTCTGGTGTTGGGGGGGGGGGGCTCTATTGATTATATAGTGAAATTACATGAATTCTTTGAAAATATTCTTCTCTGCTCCTAGGTATTAAATAAACTAACTAAGTGCATAGTTATGATGAGCAAGAGTGCCTCTACAAAAATTGTGAATTTTATGGCCCCAGCGTCAAGGGTTCGGGGGGGGGGGGGGGGGGCTTTATTGATTATAAAGTGAAAATACATGAATTCTTTGAAAATCTTCTCTGCTCCTAGGTATTAAATAAACTAAGTAAGTGCATAGTTATGATGAGCAAGAATGCCTCTTCTAAAATTATGAATTTCATTGCCCCAGGGTCTGGGGTTCTGGTGTTAGGGTGGGGCTCTATTGATTATATAGTGAAAATAGTTTAAATCTTTGAAAATTTTCTTCTCTGTCTCTGGGTATGAAGCAGATGAACTACTTATATAGTTATGATGAGCAAGGGCCCTAATCTTGCAGAATTGTGAATTTCAAGGCCCCAGGGTCAGGGGTGGGGGTGGGGGGGGCTCTACTTATATACTGAAAATGAATTAATTGTTTGAAATCTGGTCCTTTGTAATTATAAAACATTTATTTACTTTTTGATAGGCAATTTTAAGGGTGCCTTTTAAAAATTTGTGCAACCTAGGGTCAGGGGTTCATGTCAGAGTGTTAGGGGCACTACTGATTATTGTTGAATATTACTGATTAGTTGGAGTGCATTTTTGTTCCCCTACCCTGCGTATGGGTATTCAGTAACCAAGCTAAGCAACTGCTAAGTTTATTGTTATGATGATCAATGGTGCCTTTTCAAAATTGTGAATGCCATATAGCATCTGGCTTAAAACATGAATCAAATTCAATACACTGTAACTGGAAAGTTGTTGCATAATGCTCAGGTGACCTATAAGGCCCGTGGGCCTCTTGTTTCAGTGGCACTGTAGCTCTCTGGTCTGTCAATATATTTTTTTTCGGAGAGCTACATTTCTGCAGCCACTTGGTTACATCATTATAAAAGCTTATAAAATGTCATTTTTTTGGTAGAGGCTAAATGGGATGGTTTTCAATATTTTCACTTCACTGGATTGGTATATTCCATATTTTGAAAATTTTGACATTGAGTTTTATTTGACTAGTTGACACCCTCATACTCTACATTAAATTACTTCATCTAGTCAATGTGATAGCTTAAGGGAGTGGAGATAATAACTCCAGTGCAATATTTTTAAATTTTCACAGTTCTGGGCTTTGTAGGAATGAATAGGGGGTTGTACAATTGGTGTTGTTAAAATGTGATTCAGCACTGCCATTAAATGATAATCAATGATTATGAACACACTAAATGCTGTAGTGATCATTTTAAAAAAATACTGTCACTGTGATCAGTTGTTTATATCTAAGCATTACAACTTCTGAATCAAGATATTACAGTTCAGAGTAGTGGGGAAAGTAGAAGATCAGAAACCCTTGGCTAGTGAAAGTGAATTATTTTCTGACTGTATTGATAATATGATGATGAGTCTACCTGAACATTGTAGTTGAGATGAGTTCAGCAAGAACTTTGGTCTACCTATCTGG